GTATTGGCATAAAAAACACGCTAGTGCCTCTGCATTAGTGTAAAAAACATGCTAATGCCTCTGTATTGGTAAAAAAAAAAAATGCACATGTGCCCCTGCATTAGCTCAGAAAAATGCACTAGTGCCTCTGCATTGGTGTAAAAAATGCACTAGTGCCTCACCATTGGCATAAAAAACATGCTAGTGTCTCTGCATTGGCATAAATAACGCACTAGTGTCTCTGCATGGTGTAAGCATTAGTGTGGAGACAGCATTAGTATGGAAAAATGTGCTAGTTAAACTGCATTGACTGGAATAACGCACAAGTGCCACTGCATTGGAGTGGAAAAAAGCACTAGTGCCACAGCATAAAAAATGCACTAGTAAAAACCATAAGCATTAGTATGGAAACAGCATGAGTGTGGCAAAATGCACTAGTGAAACTGCATTGGCCTGAAATAATGCACAAGTGCCACTGCATTGGCACAGAAAAATGCCCTAGTGCCACTGCATTGACGTAAAAAATGTGCTAGGGCCACTGCATTGTCATAAAAATCATGCTAGCGCCTTTGCATTGGTGTAAAATATGCACTAGTGCCACTGCATTGGTATAAAAAATGCGCTAGTGCCATGATGACATTGGCAAATAAAACATGCTAGTGGCACAACATTGGCATAAAAAAGCACTACTGCCTCTTCAATGGCATAAAAACGTACTAGTGCCTTTACATTGGCATAAAAACATGCTAGTGGCACTGCTTTGGCATAGAAAGAAGCCGTAGTGCCTCAGCATTGGTGTATAAAAAGCACTAGTGCCACTACATTGGCGAAAAAAAGTGCTAGTGCCACTGCATTGGCGTAAAAAATGCACTAGTGCCACGGCATTTGTGTAATAAACCCAATAGTGGCACTGCATTGGCGTAAATATTACACTAGTGCCTCTACATTGGCGTAAAAAACGCACTACCGCTTCTGCACTGGCGTAAGAGCACACTACTGCCGACGCATTGGCGTAAAAAATGTGCTAGTGCCTACTGCATTGGTGTAAAAATCATGCTAGCACCTCGGCATTGGTGTAAAAAATGGGCTAGTGCAACTGCATTGGTGCACAAAACACACTAGTTGCATTGCATTGGCGTAAAAAATGCACTAGTGGCACTGTTTTGGCGTAAATACACGCTAGTGGCATTGCATTGGCGTAAAAAATGTGCTAGTGTCTCTGCACTGGCGCATAAAAGCACTAGTGCCACTGCAAAAACAAATATAAAAATAAAAATAATCTTGCTTTTTAAAAATATACATACTGTTCCTCTCCACCAAACTCATGACCATCCTCCCATAGTGGTCATCCTCCCACACTCCACTCTGGCACCTGGCTTGCATTTTTTCCTACCACAACCTCTGACAATAATTGAAGTCAACATTTTGGTTTTCACAAAGTTCTAATCTCAAAGGCCCTTTCCCTCCACTTCTTTCAGGTGTCCCTTCACATGATCACACTGTGGACCTGTCATTTCTTGAGACTGTGTCAATACCAAAGTCATTTACCCAGACACTCTCAACTGAAATAACCTATTTTTTTCCAGCTTACTTATGCACTCCTCCCTGTGAAATGAAGTTTTATCTGCTATAGACCTCAGGCCATCTACTTCCCCACTTTACCTCTGTCTGTGATCATTTTCTTCCTTCACCTGCTACCTTATCCAGCTTGGATTTCACAATCATTGTCCCAGGAGTACAGTTGCCATATTCCTTCTTGAACTTCCCACATCAAATATTTGCTTCCCCTATGTTTGCACCTATGAACCCAAGTGCTGCTGAAGAAAGTCACACCATAGGGATGACTGATTACATGACGAGTTTCTAAATGTGCACTTTGATGGGCCCTTGATGCTGCCTGGAAAACCTGCTAGATTCCTCCAATCAACTTGATCTCCCATCCTCCCAGTGGGAGACACTCCACTTTCTTCAAAAGATGGGAACCATCTGTCTTCTCCCATCCCAACCCCTTTCACTCTAAGCAGATGATGAATTCTTTCACTTTGCAGAAAAAATAGAAGACCAGACAGACTCACCTCCCTATAACCCAACTGCAGCTCATCCCTCCAGCTGCTGTCCTTGTGTTTACAGTAGGAGTGTAATCCTTCTCACCACCGGGGCCAGTAGCTCCCCTGGGTATTGGCTGTACTGCTTCTCAGATTTTCAAGATCCCAATACAATTATATAATGATTTTGTGTGAATATATGTAATAATCTCTCCTCTGCCATTTAGCCTCTAATCTCAATCAGACAGCTCCCACTGGCTTAAAATTAACCATTTCCTACTTCTACAAAATCTTTTCCGTTGCTTTTTGTTTTTCTGCCACTTTTTTTACACTTTGATGTGACCCTTGCTCTACCTTAGCCACTACTATATCTCCATTTGGCCTTTCATAAACATCTCTAAGAGTTATTGATAAGGTCCAGATAGAGCAATAGATTCATGTTCTGATCCAACTCCTCGGCTAACAGTAATGATAGACGAAATGTAAAAAGAGAAAAGCAGGGTGGGCCTGGTGACTCATGCCTGTAATTCTAGCACTCTGAGAGGTTGAGGTAGGTAGATTGCTTGAGCTCAGGAGTTTGAGACTGACTTGAGCAAGAGTGAGACCCCATCTCCATTAAAAATAGAAAATCTAGATGAGCATTGTGGCAGGCATCTGTAGTGCCAGCTACTCAGGAGGCTAAAGCAAGAGGACCTTTGAGCCCAAGAGTTCAAGGTTGCTATGATATGACACCAGGGCACTCTACCCAGGGCAAAAGAGTGAGACTCTGCTTCAAAAAAAAAAAAAAGAGAGAGAGAGAGAGAGAGAGAGAGAAAACCAAAATGAAATAGTCTGTTTCGAACAACATAAAGAACAAATCACAAAAGAATAAGTCGGAGTACATTAAATTTAAAAACGTCCGTTCAAAGAATGACACAAAAACAACTAAGGGATAATGCATAGACTGGAAAAATACACTTGTAAGGCACATTCCTGACCAAAGATTAGGGTTCAGTATACATAAAGAATTCCCACACGTCAATAAGAAAAAATAACAAAAGTTTCTGGAGAATAATGGGCAAAATGATAGAAAGCAATTCACAAGAAGAAGCCAAGTTGTCAACAAGTAATATAAAAATGTTCACCTCATGGGTAATCAGGGAACAAATTAAAACCACAATGAGATATCATTTCACATACATCCGAAAGGTAAATTCTAAAAGTTTGACAATACTAAATGTTAGGGGTGAGTATGTGAAAAACAGAAAGACATACGCTGCTGGTGATACTTTGGAGAGCTACTGATGCTATTTGGTATTCCCATTTCCAGAAATACTTGAATACATGCATGCACGAAGGCATGCTTGCATGGAGGAAGGTTTAGTGCAATTCTGTTTTTAATAATAAAAATCTGGATTCAATTTAAACATCCATTAATAGAAGTTGCTATAAGAAGTTGCGTAAGTACATATATCAATACATTTCTAAAGCATAATATTGAGTTTTAAAAAGCAAGTTTCAGACAGAGACATAATGTATCATTCCACGTATATTTAGATTATAGACTCAGAAAGCAACATTGCATTTTATTCATACCTAAATGTACTCATAGGCTTAAATATACACAGAAATGAAAGACACCAAATTAATGGTAATGGTTATCTCTGAAAGGTAAAAAGTAGGATTGAGAAGGAAAGTACAGGGAGATTCAACTATCTCTTTGACTTTCTTTAATCTAAAGCAAATATCACAAAGTATTAAGATTTTATAAAACTGGGTGGCAGCTCCATCAGTGTTGACGATACACTATTTTCTAAACTTTTCTTTTGTAAATTTTATATTTAAAAATTATAAAAGTTATTTGTGCTTCTTATCTCCATTTCCTTGCCTGACTCCTACCCTCACTGTGCTCCAAACACAACCATTATTCCACCAAAACGATTCCAATGACTTCTTAACGTACATTCCAATGAACATTTTCCAGCCTTATTGGACCTACCAGAAATGGTCTCTTGACTTCTATGGCACGTGTTCTCATTTTGCCTTTACCTGCCTGGTCATTCCTTCTTTCCCTCAACAGCTTGCTCATCCTCCTCTACCCCTGCTGCTCTTAGCTTTCAGAGAGGTGCTCCCAGCATCACAGTATGAGGCAGGAACTCTGCAGACACACTCCCCAGGGAAAATGGTAAAAAAAAAAAAAAATTTTTTTTTCTTTAAACAACCATTTAAAGTCTCTGGATATGGTCCTGGGAAAATACAGCAGATACAGAACCAAATGGAGAAAATCTATGAAAATGTGGTGAGAATAGTGAGTCTGTGGCATGTATATGGAAACCCACTCCCATTCTTCCCTGTCCCAACTCAGTGATAGAAATTCTACTCCAGACTGGTGCAGCCAAGAAAATGAAATTCCCTACTGAGAAGCTAGTTGGAGGCTTTCTTTCTAGGAGAGGGAGGATGTCAGCATTTCTCATTCTGCCTCCAGCAAACTGTCACCAAGGCTAAGTTACAGGTGAGTGTGGGCAAAATGTGTAGGCTCCTTTCTTTTGCCTACCTCCAACTCATAAAACACACTTCTCCCAGAGAAGCTCCACCTTGAGTGTGGCATCACTGAGAATATCAGGGTCTTGATTACCCTAGAGCGGGTTCACAAGCCACTGGTTCCATGCTAGGAGAGGCAAGCCAAGAAGACCTGGTTACTGCCTGCTACCTCCACCAAGCACTCAGTTCTGAAAGTGGAGACTCCACTCAGGAAGAAGTGTGTTGTTGTCCCCATACCCAGTTACAGATACCTGGCTCAGAAGTTTTGCCTAAAGGGAGAAGGAGGCCAAAAACAGAGAAGTCCCAATCTCTTCCCAAAGAAACTGATTTCAAGAGAAGTTCAATCCTAAGGGCACTCTCAAAAATTGCCCAAGACATTGTGAAAGCCAATTGAGAGGAGTGGGGCAGTTTAATTGAAAATACACACTACAGTTTCTTTTCCGACAAAAACACCAAATGGCGGATGACACCGGTGCAGCAGGAGGGCCTGGAGGCCCCGGGGGCCCTGGAATGGGAGGCCGTGGTGGTTTCCGTGGAGGCTTTAGCAGTGGCATTCGAGGCCATGGTTGCAGCCATGGTCGGGGTCAGGGCGGAGGCCATGGAGCTCTCGGAGGCAAGGCCAAGGACAAAGAGTGGATGCCCATCACCAAGCTGGGTCTACTAGTCAAGGACATGAAGATCAAATACCTGGAGGAAATCTATCTTTTCTCCCTGCCCATTAAGGGATCTGAGGTCATTGATTTTTTTCTTGGGGGCATCTCTCAAGGATGAGGTTTTGAAGATTATGCCAGTGCAAAAACAGACCCGCACTGGCCAGCAGACCAGGTTCAAGGCGTTTGTTGCCATTGGGGACTATAGTGGCCATGTCAGCCTGGGTGTTAAGTGTTCCAAGGAAGTAGCCACTGCCATCCAAGGGATCATCATCCTGGCCAAGCTCTCTATTGTCCCAGTACCGAGAGGCTACTGGGGAAATAAGATCAGCAAGCCTCACACTGTTCCTTGCAAGGTGACAGGCCTCTGTGGCTCTATGCTGGTACGTCTCATCCCTGCTCCTAGAGGAACTGGCATTGTCTCAGTGCCTGTGCCTAAGAAGCTGCTAATGATGGCTGGTACCGATGACTGCTACACTTCAGCCAGGGGCTGCACTGCCACCCTGGGCAACTTTGCCAACGCCACTTTTGATGCCATTTCCAAGACCTATAGCTATGTCACTCCTGATCTCTGGAAAGAGACAGTGTTGACCAAGTCTCCTTACCAAGAATTCACTGACCATCTTGTTAAGACCCACACCAGACTCTCTGTGCAGAGGACCCAGGCTCCAGCTATGGCTACATCATAGGGTTTTTATACAAGAATAAAGTGAAATAAGTCTGTTAAAAAAGAAACAGAAAAGGAAATACACACTACACTGCAGCTCATTTAGTTTGCCTAAGAGAACCTAGGAAAGAGATAGCTGAGAGGAGCCCACCTGGGTTCCCTTAAAGGAGACTAACATGATTGGTTTGACCTATGGAGGCTTTAATGTCTGGGCATTGCTTAAAACAAAAGAACAATCAGCCAGCAATTAATGGCATTTCCAGCTGTGTGTGGTTAGACTGTCAAAAAGAGACCTGTCAAAACAAGTGGATCAGAGAAGCATGGAACACTGTTAAGCACATCAACATGCATATAATGGGAGTCACAAAAGGAGAAGGGAAAGAGAAAGGAGAAAGAGAAATATTCAAAGGATTATGGCTGAAAACTTTCAAAATGTATTAAAGGTTAGCCTTCCTCAGAGCTCAGACCTAAACTCTGTCCATTTCTCACTCCATAATCCATCCCTAGGCACTGAGATGTGTGTGTGTGAGAGAGAGAGAGATACTAGTGACTTACCTATTTGTGTCTCAGTTCGTATGTCCCTGAGCTCCAGAACTCAATGCCAACTCTTTATTTCACATCTCCTCTTGTGTATTTCAAAGATAACCTCAATTTTAATGTCTCCTCTCTGTTTCCACAACCACCACTGGTCCTCACACTGTGACTAAAGACACAGTGAGCTTTCACCTTGATCACCACAGAGCCTACTCACTGTGCACTTGCACCAAATTACCCAGTGCTACACCTGGACTCAGTCCTGCTTCGCATCCCATTTACCCAATATCTGAAGCCAGAATGATATTTTCCAAACATTTGATTGCATCCAACCTCCCTCCCCCAGGGGGAATAGTAGCTCCTAACTCGTGTGAAATTCCTTAGCCTGGCCTATAAGGTCTCTGTGGTATGGCCCCCTCTTTAGCCTTATCCTGCACCATGTTTACCCCGGTGGTACCTGCTATGTGAGCCACACTGGCCTTGCCTCAGGCCTAAGTACCCAGCATGCTTCTCCCACCACAGAGTTTCTGCATATGCTATCCCTCCTGCCAGGAACACCTCTTCATACCTTTTTACCTAGCAACCCCCAGAATAAGTCAAATTTCTGCTCTTCAGAGCAGCCTTCCTTGATCCTCCAACTAGGCAAGCTCCCCTATGATGCATTCTCCAGACACAATGCTTTTCTTCTTTATACCCCTAAAGAGTATTGCAATTTTGACTGTATTTGTGTGATTAATTGATTCACAATTATCTTCACTGGTATTCTAGAAATGGTTCCATGATGGCAAAATTTTTGTCTGCTCTGCTCATTGTTGGATACCCAATGTCCAGCACAGCGCTCAGAGTTTGTTAGATAGGATCTCTTTATTGAGAACTGCAATGAACTGAACACTTGCTAACCCCAACATTCACATGTTGAAATCCTAACATCCAAGGCGAAGGTGTCAGGAGGTAGGGGCTTTGGAGCCTGGAGCCTCATGAATGGGATTACTGCTCTTAATAAAAGGACTTCAGGGAGCTCTCTCACCTTCTTTCCACCACATAATGAAGAGTTAGCGGTTTGAACCTCTAAAAGGACTCTCACTGAAACCCAGCTGTCCTGGCACCCGCATTTCAGACTTCCAGCCTCCAGAACTATGAGAAACAAATTATGGCTGTTTATCAGCCCCGCCCGCCCCCATCTATGGCACTTTGTTATAGCAGCTGGCTCAGGATTGACTTTGAGCTATTTATAATGGAAAACAAATCCTGGTCTTCATTTTTCATGATTGGCACAAAGTGGAAATCATAGATTTAGATTAGGTGTGGGTTGAAAGTCTATCATTTTCCAAGCATCTTTATATCAATACTTATTACTGGATATATTCCCCTGAATAATTAAAATACATTGGAATGCTATAACCAAAATGTATTCATGAAAGATTTATACTATGAAAATAATTCCAACCACCTGTGGATACGTTTCATGAGTACTATCCAGGAGTCTATGTGAGCCTGCTCGGGAGGTGCAAATAAGGGTGTCTATCATTGCGCCAGGTAGATTTATATTTACATTGAAATTACTGGACGAAAGACTTAAAACCTTGCTCTAACTTAAATAATATAACAAACGGGTGACTTAAAATCTGTATTCAGCGCGCTTTCAGTTTCAGTAAAAGCGGATTGATGTGTGGGAAGAAAGAACTGACATTGTTTTAAAATTCTGCTCGCCTGCAGCTCATCTAGAAGCTGAAAATAGCGTGGACTCACGTTCTTATGGGTAACAAACACTTTCTGAAACTACCTTCAAGTGTCCCTACCTACCCCCATCTAAGTGAGTTAAGATGAAAATGTACCTATCTGTGGGCGTTCACTGAGTTTCCCGGTGGAAACAAGCAAAGCTAAACTCGCAGCTCCTCCCAACAGCAAAGCCTCACAGTCCGCAGCGCGTGAGCGGCGCCTCTGCGCCCCATCGGTGTGGTCTTGACCGCAGCCGACACCAAGGAGGAGCAGCCGGGTATGCACCGAGTCCTTGTGCAGAGGAACGAGAGCTAAGACAGCCAACCAGTCCCGGTAAAGCATCCGCTAGGGGTCGGGTCTGCGCTCAAGACTCAGTGCTCAGGCTAAAGTCAGCGGGAGGGAAGCCACTGGCGCGCACGTCTCCGGAGGCCGTCGCTGGGTGCGGACGCCTTTTGCTCTCTTTGCCGGGAAGGCAGGAACCTCTGAACGTCATTGGAAGTCAGCCGCTCCCAACCTTTGCTGCTTTCCAGACAGGAGACAGAGTGCAGCAGCCAAGATAGAGAGGTTGCCAAGCCTAAAATATTTTCTAGCTCGCCCTTTGCAAAAAAAAAAAAAAAAAGCGTTTTCCAGCCTTGGTCTAGAACTTCAACCAACAAAAGCTAGAGCATAGTGATACTAGAAGCAGACAGGTTTGAGTTTGTTGGCTTTTTAATTCTCTATAGACTGTGTTCCCTCCCTCCCCACCACTGCCCTCTACTGATTAAATCTAGGCTGAATATTCCTACTCTCCCGCCCTAGGTATGCCATCGGGTGATCATCATCCCAATTTTTGCTTTTTCTTTCTTTTTTTTTTTAATTAAGTCATATACAGATAGATCATGAATACACTTATGCATATGTGGGGTACAATGTGTTGATTTTTTTATACAATCTGACGTGCTTACATCAAACCAACCAACATAGCTTTTGTTTCATTTACTTGATTATTGTGTTAAGACATTCTTGTTCAACACTTGACAGATTTGACCTGTACCCTTGCAATATGCTCCATAGGTGTGGTCCCGCCTTTTACCCTCCCTCTATCAAACCTCCTCCTTCCCCTCCTTTCCCACTCCATTTCTTTCTTTCATCCTGGACTACAGTTGTGTTCTACTTTCTTTTTTTTTTTTTTTTTATTGAATGGTAACTATGTACATTAATGCACTTCTGGGGT